TGGGCTGGGCTGGGCTCGCCCAACCCAGCATATAAATTAGTGACTGGGCTCAGTTTAGCCCCACAGGAGCTGGGCTGAGCCCAGCCGGCCCATCCGGTCACTGGCCCAAACCAGTGGCTGGCTGGGCAATCAGCTGATGCACGCGTGAAGCAACTTCACGCGTGCATCAACAGTGCGAAGGTAATTGCGAAGGTAATTAAGTTACCTTCGCACTGTTCAAATGTTAATTTGAACGCAGGAGCAAACTACAGAGGAGAGTAGGTATACCTGTTTATGGAGCGTGCGAAGGAGGCTGCAACGTTGAAAAGGGCTCGACTTCTTTCTGTTGATGGTGATAGAGGATAGGGTTCCTCCGCCGGTGATTTTCTCCTTTCTTGTTCGGTTTTTAGTGACCCTTTGTTCTGTTTTTTTTGGTTCGTTCCTTTGTTTCGGGTTTTCTGTTCTTGATTCTCTCTTTTTCTGCTGTTGGGTGTTGTTCTTCTCTGTTTTTTTTTGTGGAATTTTTCTGGGTTCTTTTCTGCTTTGCTCGGTAATTCTTGGGCTGTTCTTTGGTATTTTTCGGGTTTTCTTTTTTCTTCCTCCCCCTCACGCCTGGTTTTCTTCTCCCTTTTATAGAGAAATTGGCTCTGCCCCAGTCCTGTCTTTGCAGGACTGTGTTATGGAATCCTTGAACGAGATTATTGGCAACAGATGTTATCCAAGATCGGGTTTGTTGCAGATTATCAGCTCCCCTGCTGAATCGGAAACTTCCCTATTGACTCGGGATGGAGAAGACATGGCAACAACAGCGTTTTGGCTGGAAATGGGAGTTTTCAATTTGACCCCTGGGCTTTGGAAATTCGATAATTGGACCCCTTAATCAATTAAAATTCCTTTTAATTTTTTTCGGTTAATTTCAATTAGATCCCTAAATTGATACGTTATTTACACAACAGTCCTGAATTTCTGAACTATTCAATTTAGTCCTTGAACTTTACTTTTCTGATAATTTCTCTAAACAACCTCCAAACTTTGGTATTTTTTCAATTAAACCCCTGATTCTTTTAATTAATTAAATCAAAATTTAATTAAGTCCTCAAACTCATTAATTCCTCAATTTCTTTTAATTTAATTAATTAACTTAATCCCAAGCTCAATTAAATATCAAAATTTATTAATTCTCCAATTAAACCCTTGATTTAATTAATTAAACTAGTCAAGAGTTTAATTAAATATTTAAACTTTCCAATCATGTTTTCATTAACTCAAATTGTAATTCATTCTTCATTTACTTTTTATTTTATCAACAAGCTTTAGTAAATAAAAAAAAATCAAAAATTTGGTTATGACAGTTGCCCCTTCTTTATAACATTTACTATGCAACGATATAAGAAAATTTCATTTTCTTTTAGCTTTGTGTAGTAAATTTATAAAGAAAATTAGATACAGAAAGAAATTTTTTTTTATATATAGAGTCTTGAAAACCTCAAAAAAACAGTAGATTGACATGACTTTTATAGAGAGAACAAGACATCTGGAAGACGACCCACTTTTTTTGTTTTTTTTTTTTTAAATGGATCAAATTGCTTTGGGCAACCTACCTAGTGATAAAAGAGACGCGAAGAATTTCATAAGTGGTTTATTTGTTCCAGGCGACCTGCCCGATGAAGAATACAAAGATTTTTTTTTTTGTGATGGTAAGTTGTAATGGGTTACCTGCCTAGTATAAGGTGGTATATTGTGATGGGTTACCTACCCAGATGGTCACATTGTAATGGGTCACCTGCCAGTTGGTATATTGTAATGGGTTACCGACCCAGATGGTCA